TCTTCAAGAGGACAAAAGAAGACACCCTTCCTGTACATTCAAATCAAGTCCATAATTTCTCAAAAGCATTAAAATGTCCCAAAATTCCTTTCCAAATTCACTTCTGACACTGTCTTACTATTACAAACTTTAAGGAAATAAATAGCATGGTATGAACTCACGGGTAGACACACAAGCAAAAGGCCCCTGAAGCATAAGGGTTTTTAATTTCATATAAATCCATTTTTGTTGGCATGGCAGTTAGTTCGGGGTTTGAGGATAATGCAAGAGAACCCTTTGATTCTTGTAGGATACGTGATCCAGAAGGTAACCTGGAGCTTGCCCAAACATAGTCACATCCAAAACTTCAGGAATCTGAAAAGTCCTTAACTGTCTCCTGACAGCAGTTAGAGTGGACTTAGTACTCACGGAACAAGGAGGACATTGACACCTGAAAGCCAGCCAAGGTCAGTAAGTGCAACAAATTGCATCAGGGTTCTACCAGGCAAACGGAACCAGTAAAGAAAGATTTATTACAAGGACTTAGCTGACGTAACTGTGTGGACCAGCTAAGCAAGTCCAAAATCCACAGGGCAGACAGGAGCTGGAAACTGCAGAGCTCAGAGAAACTTCAGGTTTGTCTCTAGGGCAGATTAGATCAGGTCCATCAGATGATCCAGGCCATTCTCCTGTACTTAACCCATTGATTATAGTCGTTAACCACATCTCTAGGAAAAGTCTTCAGAGCAACACCTACCTGAGTGCCCATTGAACTGAGGGCTGTCTAGCTAGCCAGTTTGACACGTAAAACTAGTCATTGAATATTTATTAACATCTCCTACGTGTCAGAGGGTGTACAACAAGCTGACCACTAAGACAGAAAAAAATCTCTAACCCAGTTTGGGTTAGTAGAACACAGGAAAGGAGATTAATTCTGCTGCAGGGATGAGGTCAGGGTTGGGGAAGCTTCGCGAAAGACAGTGGTCAAGAGTTCAATTTTGGCAGGCACAGTGGAGTAGTGCGCACCTGTAATCTCAGCAACTCGGGAGGCTGAGGCAGGAGGATTACAAGTTCAAGGCTAGCCTCAGCAAGGTCTTAGCAAGACCTTTTCCAAAAATAAAAATAAAAACAGGATGGGACCCTATATATATGTATGGTTACACTACTGATGTGACTATGCACCACATACAGCCAGAGGAAGGAGAAGTTGTGCTCCATTTCTGTACAATGTGTCAAAATGTGTTCTACTGTCATGTATAACTAATTAGAACAATAAAAAAAGTTAGGGGTGTAGCTCATTGGTTGAGTGCCCTGGATTCAATACCCAGTCCCCCCAATACACACACACACACACACACACACACACAAAAGGTTCGACTCTGGCTTGAACACTGTCCCCTAAGTGACTTCCTTATGTCCTTACTTCTTTAGGAGTAAAATGAGGACAATATTCATATCCAAATCACAACTGCTGGGAAAATCGAGTAAGATGAACTAGGTAAAGTGCTTGGAATAGTGCCAGGTATACAGCAGGTAAATATCCACTGTCAGCATTGTTATTATTGATAGGAACCTTGAAGGATGAGCAAGACTAATCCAGGATAAGAAGCACAGAAACTGCAGGAGCAAAGACACAGGCATGCAAACACCTGTCGTGCCCAGAGAGGAGTGGTCAGCGCTGTGTGGCCAGAGCATGTGGGGTGGCCAGGAAGATCAGATCTGAGCGGCTGACTCTGGTGGGTCTGCAAGAGGCTGTGAATGCTATGGAAATGCTGTGCACTGTATCCTGACAGCAAGAAGCAACAGCGGGCTTTTCTTAGATAAGAAAATAATATTCAAATCAACAAATACCCAGAATGCTCAGGCTGCAATGGCTTGTGTGAATAGATGAAGCCACATTTGAATAATTATCCCAATTATTAATGCCCTGCACATTCACAGCTTGAGTAACAGGCAGTCTGGGCTTTTCCCAGGTTCCTCTTCCTGTTCACATCCCTCGGTATCCCCCGGGGGATTGTTCCAGGGGCTCCTCGGATGCTCAAGTCACCTGGGTAAAATACATGGTATCTGCACAACCTAACTACATCTCCCATCCAAGTCATCCCCAGATTGTTTACCATCCTTAATACAATGTAAGTGCTCTGTAAATAGTTGCTACCATCTATTGTTTTGGAGAAAATGACAAGAAAAAGGTCTGCCCATGTTTAATACAGACTTTTTATTTTCTGATATTTTCCTCCCCATTTTGTTGAATCCGCTGGCGTAGGAGCTGCAGATAGGGAGGGCAAGACTGTATTACAGGAATTCCCAGGGTGTGCCCTCTCATGGGGAGTGCGGAATCCATGCCCAGCAGCCATCAAAGCAAGACTCCACCACTGTAAAGAGAGGTCTAACACCTCAGTCCTCTGTGCTGGGACCAGAGGTCCTCACTGGAGAGAGAGAAAGCTCAAGGCAAGATTGTCCCATGTCAAAATCATCTGAGTCCCAAAGCATTATAATCTAATGTATTCACATATTCTCAACAAATCAGAGAGGACTGGCTCTCCCTCAAAACCCATCCTCTCTATCTGCCGTAGTAATAGTGTTAGAGCCAGGCATGAAGTCACCTCGCTAGGACTAAGTTTCCCACCCTATCTGCAGAGACATGAGGCCACACTGTTCTCACCAACAGAACTGAGTACGAGTGATATATGCCACCGCCAGACCTGGACCTTGGCAAACTGCACAAGTAGGCCTCTGTGCACATCCATCTTCCCTCCACCTAAGGTACCATCTGGTTGTGACTCAGTGGCAAACATGCCATTCGATCCCAGCATTTAGGAGATGATGGAGAAAACTAGGCCCCTAGCACAGGAATGACTTCACAGAGCAGAACTCACCTGGGACTGTGCCTAGAGAAGAAATTTCTATTTTCTATAAGCCACTTAAATATTGTGAATCTCTTATTGCAAAGGCCTCATGTTACCCTGGCTTAGACCCTCAGCTCTTTCCCCCAAGTTCATACATTAGCCAGGTAGAGCTTTCAGTCTTGATGTCAAACATTTATCACAGTAATCACGTACTCACTGAAGTGACTTTAATGACCATGTGGATAGGGATAATGGTTATGATGATGTTAGTATTGTAGAAGAATGACTGGATTTACATAAATTTGCTTGGTCCTGGACCATACTCTGATAAAAGGGTTCTTAAAAACGCAACACAACCCTGCATAACAAATATATGTTATAAAGGTTTCTTTCTTGATTTACAAAGGGGAATGAGGGAGAAATTTAAATAGAGCAAGAGAGTGAAAGGTGAGTGACAGAAAAACTAAGGCCACTCCAGAAGTGAGCAAGTAATCCAGGTTTTGATGAGACTGACAGGCAGTGTAAAATAGCTCATATTCTGTGCAAGAAAGCCCTGATTTAGACAATATCTCTTTGAAAAGCAGATAGAATTTTTAAAAGGATGAAAGCCACCCAGGACATAGTTATTTTAAATCTAGCCATCTTATCTTTTTTCTCCTTTTTTAATATTTATTTTTTATTGGTGCATTATAATTACACATAGTGGGATTCATTATGCCATATTCACACGTGTACATAACATAACATGCTCAATCTCCCTTCATTTTAAGTTCTTTTTCAGTTTGTTTGTTATTGGGGATGGAACCCAGGGTGCTTAACACTGAGCCACATCCCCAGCCCTTTTTATTTTTTTTATTTTGAGATAGGGTCTTACTGAGTGGCTTGGGGCCTCAGTAAGTTGCTGAGGCTGGCCTCAGACTTGGGGTCCTCCTGTCCCAGCTGCTGGAATTAAAGTGTGCCACTGCACCCAGCTTATGTTCTGTTTGTTTGTTTGTTTGTTTGCTCTCTGTGCTTTGGGGTACTCAGCCTCAAACAGTATGATCTTCCTGGTTACCTGATGTATAGGCTGAAAGCTTGTGATCCACAAAACTCCTTTGCTGAAGCCCTACATTTGGAAATGGAACCTCTAAGGAAGTAATAAGGTTAAATTAGATCATCAGGGTTGACCCTATAGCTCAGCATCCTTGTAAGAGACCAGAGAGCTCACTCAGCATTCTCTACACTCTCTGAGAGGCCATGTCCCTGGAGAACCTGTATCCCAGCAACTCACAAGGCTGAGGCAAGAGGATCCCAAGTTCCAGGCCAGGCTCAGCAACTTAGCAAGGCTCTGTCTTCAAATTTTAAAAATTGGCTGGGTGTGGTGGCGCACCTGTAATCCCAGAGGCTCAGGAGGCTGAGGCAGGAGGATCACGAGTTCAAAGCCAGACTCAGCAACAGCAAGGCACTAAGCGACTCAGTGAGACGCTGTCTCTAAATAAAATACAAAATAGCGGGGCTGGGGTTCTAGCTTAGCAGTAGAGTGCTCGCCTAGCACATGTGAGGCGCTGGGTTCCATGCTCAGCACCCCATAAAAATAAAATAAAGGTATTGTGTCCAACTACAACTAAAAGTTTATATATGTATGTGTGTGTGTGTGTGTGTGTGTGTGTGTGTATGGGCTGGGATGTGGCTCAGTGATCAAGTGCCCTGAGTTCAATCTGCAGTACCCCCCCCACAAAAAAAAATTAAAGAACTCACGGATAAAAGAGCCAAAAAATATTTTCCAAAAAGATCATCAAATACATATTATAATAATTTTGTTACAGCAAAGAAAAGGCCCCTGGGAAACTGGAAATGGTTTGAGCTGGCTTTGACACAAAGGCTCTCCTGTTTCTACACCCTGTAACCCCCCTGCAGGGGAGAAGCCTTGTGGACACAGCCCCCCACCCCTTGGACTCTTCATGCTAAATTTGCCCTATTGGAGGCAAGTTTCTATCACATGCCCGTGCATTTTCTTTAGAATTCTATGACACTGACCTTTATAATCAGAACTGTATACACAGTTATACAACCGCGTGTGAAGGTCACGCAGAAGCCTCTGGACTCAGCCTCCAGTGTCCTCCTGTGGAGGAGTTGGCTGTGACCCTTGACCCCATGGCTAAGAGACTCATCCTGCTTCATCCTCTGTCTTACCTTTTAGTTTCCACATTGTTCTTGTCCCGCACTCTGGCTTCTCAAGTCCAGCTCTTGTTCCACAGGACTTTCGCACAGTGCAGAGAGTCCGAGGTCTGTGCTTTGGAAGGAGATATTATTTTAGGAATAATGTACTTCTACATGAATATCTCTCTCTCTCTCTCTCTCTCTCTCTCTCTCTCTCTCTCTCTCTCGTACTGGGGATTGACCCCAGAAGCATTTAACCACTGAACCACAACCCCATCTCTTTTTTATACTTTAGTTAGAGACAGGACCTCAGTGAGTTGCTTAGGGTCTTGCTAAATTGCTGAGGCTGGCTTTGTACTCACAATCCTCCTGCCTCAGACTCCCGAGCCTCTGGGATTATAGATGTGCGCAACCCCGCCTGCTTCTCCTTTAGATTATACTCCCCAGAAGCTTCCCAGGAGATGTTCCTGAGATTGGCGTTCCAAGCAAGGGAATGGGATTTGCCCTCTTCAGCAAGACTCAAAGCCAGAAACACCGGGGCAGGCAGCTCTGCCCAGAGCCTCCATGTATCACCATTGGGGCTCTTAGAGGAAGAGTTGTCCTCTTGAGAGCCATCACGGGGGCTGCCCCACCTGAGTGGTGTCACTAGCTCCACTGCAGCATGGTGCCAGCTTTCCCAAATGCCCCTTAGAGAAACCAGTTCCCTGGCTGAGAAGTCCTGAGCTGAAGAGAAACCTTCCTAAATTAGCAGCACAGAAGCTACCAGAGAACAACCCCAGGGTCCCTATCAACTTATGGAGAAGGAAGTCCCTTGGTCTGAGCAGAGCTAAGCCTGGGGTGACCAGCGTAGCTTGTCCCAGTCTGCCCAGCACTGTTCCAGTCTTAGCTCTGAACCCCAGACCCAGACAAACTGGAAGAGTTGGTCACCCCGGCTCAGCCAGGTGGCTCATGCCTGTGGCAGAGGGTGAGGCAGAAAAGAAAAGCTGCTTCCTCCAAGATGGAGGCTTCTGGGGAGAAAAGGGGCCAAGAGGAGTTCATGAGGGCGTTGTTTTCTGTCCTATCCCCAGACGCGCCAGCCTCCTCCTCAGGGTCTATGGGGCCTTAGAAACCTCTAGATGTATGGGAGGCATCTGTGGGGAGCACCTTTTGCTCAGCTTCTTCATGAGAAAGCAGTGCTGAGCCAGCTACCATGGGCCCAGCCAGCGGCCACACCCAGTATCAGTCACCAGGAGGAATCCTAGTGACTCAGGAGGCTAAGCAGGAGGATCACAAGTTCAAGGTCAGCCTCAGCAATTTAGCATGACCCTGTCTCAAAATAAAAATAAAAAGGGCTAGGGGTGTAGCTTAATAGTAAAGGGCACCTGGGTTCAATCTCCAGTTCCAAAGATACATACATAAACAATGGAAAATAAACTTCATTTCATTTTTTTGGAATTTTTGCAAACTCTAGGGGACTAACAACTTAAATATTTCAGATGGGCCCCAGACATCGGGCTGGTTTAAGTATACAAGCCAGAGCAGGAGGAAAGTGATTCCGTGATGCGCAGCTTCACCACATTCCTGGGACTCTCTGCTGGGTGTAAGAAAAGCCACTGAATTCACTACAACTGCCAAAGCAGAGCAGCACAGGGCTGGAAGGCCAGGATCAAGCTGTCCACAGAGTTGCTTTCCTGAGGCCTCTCTCCTTGCTTTGCAGATGAGCATCTTCTTCCTGAGTCTTCACGTGGTCCTTCCTCTGTACACAAAGACCTAACCCCCTCTCCTTGGAGCTCACCCATCATACGGGATAGGGCCCACTCGACTGATCTCACCTTAAGTGACATTTCAGGGCCCACTGATGGCTGTCTCCACCTGCTGCTCTTAGCTGTGGGTGGACTCCTGTGTATTGGGGACAACTTCTCAAGGTCACAAAACAGCAGCACTGAAACTTTAGCGGAAAGATTAGTCAGTATTATTATGAGAATTTTTTTTTTTTTTTGGTTCCAGGGATTGAACCCAGGGGTGGTTAACCACTGAGTCACATGCCCAGCTCTTTTTTTATATTTTATTTAGAGACAGGGTCTTCTTAAGTTGCTTAGGGCCTCGCTAAATTGCTGAGGCTAGCTTTGAACTTGCATTCCTCCTGCCTCAGACTCCCAAGTCACAGGGATTACAGTCGTGCGCCACTGTGCCTGGTCTTAGGAGAACAATTTTAACTTGGTGAACTTGGGGAAGGATCTTAAACCCGGTGCATTCAGTAAGAAGAAGCTCCCGAGAGGAAATCCTGTACTGCAAGCCTCACCCTGCAGTTGCTCTTCCCTGATGCCCCTCCCTGGCCAATACTGGCCTCCCCATGTGGCTGGAGGGGCTCCCAACCCAACCCCAGAGACACAGAGGAAGGCCCCCAGCTCTTGAGAGCTGTACTCACAGGCAGACCTACAAAATAGGGGACCCAGGAGACAGCAAAGGGCAAGAATAGACATGAACAGTGGTTAGTTCAAAGCCAGATGCCCCCTGGCCCTACCTTCCACAGTGAGATCACTTCACCTTCGTTTTCCCACAGGTGAGCCAACAACTACCCATATTAGGTAAACGATAACAGTGAATATTAGAATTCAATCTAATTGAATATAAGGACCAAAAACAAATTGATGGTGGTTTGAACAAAATATAACTCTCTAGCACATAAAGGAAATGGAGAGATAAGCATCCCAAGACTGATACAGTGTTTCTACAAGAGTGTCAGGGACAATCTTTCCCTTTCCCTTCATAGTTGGCTTTTCCTAGGTTGTGATAATCATCCTCAAGGTCCAAGGTGGGTGCTCAGCTTCAGTCATTGCAAATATGTTTCTCTCAGGAGCAATGGAAAAAGAATACTTCCCAGGAGCTTCTCATCCTTCTATTTACATGCCATTGGTCCAAATGACATCATATACTCATCTCAAGGAAAATAGGAATATATTATTTTCGTTGGGTGACAATATGTCTAAGAAGGAGATAACGAATGGTGGGAGATGCTAAGCCCTCTTGTCTACAGATCATCAGTCAAGTGCTGTCCCCCAGAACAGAACAGCAAAACCAAACTGAGACATGAACACTTCACAGCTACCAAGTGACTCACCAGGCAGGTGACTCATTCCTGCCCACCAGCCTGTCAGCAAAATTGTGTTTCTACATGTCGTAGACTTTGCCGATCACTAAAAATACTCACCACTCTGATTAGTCAATCTGCACATGCAAAGAATCTGCTGAGCATTTTGTCTGTTTTCAAATTATACATTTCATATAAAAATTAATCTGTGTCAAACACTGAAGGTAAATACACTTAAATATTAATCTGAAAGTTTAGAGAGATTATTTCTGGGTAGTAGAATCACAGAACATTTTTCTTTTATTTAGTTTTTTTGTTTGTTTTTTCTTTTCTAGAAATAATATTCCTTCAATGTATACACATGGGTTCTACACTTAGGTAACACAATGATTTCCTTACAAGAGTGAACGCTTCCAGCCCTGAAATATGATTCTTGAAATACTTCTTTACCCCTGCTCTATTTCCTTTCAAACCACATTTCTTCAGTTAAATACAGTGCAATAATTAAATCATGACCTTTCTTAATATTTCCAAACTCTGCCTTGTGGTTTAAACAGAACCTGAAAATACATGTAACCCACAAACTACATTTCTGAAGATCAGCCATCAAGTTCTGACCTACTGTTGCAATTATATGTAAATCAGAGGAAGGAGAAAGTTTTACAACTCAGACTTTGTAAGGAAAAAGGAATGTTCTTCTTCCCAGAAATTGCCTGGGAGGTATTCCCCTTCTTCTTCTTCTCCTCCTCCTCCTCCTCCTCCTCCTCCTCCTCCTCCTCCTCCTCCTCCTCCTCCTTCTTCTTCTTCTTCTTCTTCTTCTTTTTTGTACTGGGAATTAAACCAAGGAGTATCCTGCCACTGAGTTACATCCCCAGCCCTTTTATTTTTTATTTGAAACTGAGTCTCACTAAGTAACTGAGGCTAGCCTCAAACAAGCAATTCTCCTGCCTCAGTCTCCTGAGTTACTGGGATTACAGACATGTACCACCGCACCCAGAAACGTTATGCTGATTATTTTTATTTTGCAGTGCTGGGTGGAACCTAGGGCCACATGCATGTTACTCTCCCACTCTACCACTACTCTATCCCTGGCCCCTGCATTTTTTACTTTATATCTTCCAGTGAATTCTTTACAGCCGAAAGTAAACCCAAGCTGGGCATGGTGATGCACACCTGTAATCCCAGCAACTTGGGAGTCTAAGGCAGGAGGATCAAAAGTTCCAGGACAGCCTCAGCCATTTAGTGAGGTCTTAAGCAACTTAGCAAGACCCTGTGTGGCTTGGTAGTAGCTCCCCTGGGTTTAATCCTTATAACAAAAAAATAAAATAAAAAGATAAAGAAAAGAAAGTGAAGCCAACAGCTTTGGAAAGAGCTGAGTCTCAAGGTGTTGATCCTCTACAATCCCCATCACCATCCAACCCTCCACTGGCCAGGCAGGGGCTCCAGAAGGGGCAGTGGCCAGCACTGGTCCAATCTGCTGCAGCCCTCAAAGGCATGAGGACCTGGCTTCTGGAGGCAGCTTGCTAATTACCCCCACCACCCTGAGCTGCTTTTTCTCCAGAAAAGACAATTACCGAAAGACAATTACTCTTGATTTTTCCTCTCGCACTTGTTGTTGCTACCCTAGAGCCAAAAGACTGACAACCAATTTAAACACACCAACCCTGCTAGAGGAACACCCAAAGGTCCCTGAGATAAAAGCACTAACTCCCTACACAAAACGAAGCCCCACTATGTCTACTAAAGGGTGGGGGGGGGCAGATAAAATGAGTGTAGACTGGACTGAGGGCTCAGTCACTATCCCAATGAGGGCTCAGTCACCTATCCCAATGGCACAGGTAGAATCTAATCCAGAGCTGCCACAGATGACCCAAGAAAGATGGCAAATCCCACAACCCACTCAGTAATACCCTTCCCCAGTGTAGACACACATGCCTCAGGAGGAAAGCAGAACTTTCATGATCAGCAAAAGCAGCTCCTGTTCAAAGACAAGGAAAGGTCACTCAGGGCCCCACCTATTCCTCCCTTCTTGTTCTCACTCTAAATAACGTGTGCTTTCTTATCTTATTTTCTGTTTGTAATTTTTTTTTTCAATAAAGAGAGCTTCAGATTCCATAAGCTCCAAGCTCCACAAATCCTGGATTTTCCCCAAGTAAAACGAGGACTCATACATGCTTACATCTCCTTTTTCTTTTTTCTGTTAAATTGTGGCTTAAAACGCATAACAAAAAATTCACTAGTTCGGTGACATTAAAGATATTCACATTGTCCTACAAACATCTTCAACACCCACATCTGCAACACTGTCACCTGGCAAAACTGAAACCTGTTACATAGTAACTCTCCGTTCTCCATTCTCCCAGCCCCTGGAAACTGCCGTTTTAGTCTCCTTTCTGTGGCTATGAATTTGACCTCTCTAGATCCCTCCTGGGAGTGGCACTGTACAATCTCTGTCCTTTTACAGCTGGTTAGCTCTCAAGGTCACCCACAGTGTACACATGTCCACATTTCCTTCCTTTTTAAGGCTGAACGGTATTCGTTGGTATGTACATGCCACATCTTGTTTATCCATCCATCCATCCATTTGGTTCGTACAACTTTTTTTAAGATAAATGCATGCAGCCATGTGAAAGGCCATGTCCTGCAGGAGGTGCCCATGGTCCCTCCTCAGTCACATCCTCGTGAGGCCTGAGCTCAGTGAGGAGCATTATCATTTCACCGCCAGCCTGGGAATCATTTCCCCTAACAATTAATTCATTCTGCATTTCCTCCCGTGGGCATCCCACTTCTTCCTTTGTCCGTGTGTGTGTGTGTGTGTGTGTATATATATATATATGTTGTTGATGGACCTTTATTTTATTTATTTATACGCGGTGCTGAGAATCAAACCCGGTGCCTCAACATGCCAGGCTGGCCCCAGCCCCAGCCCTCTTCCTTTGTCTTTGACCTATGCTGATAATCTCCAATCACACAACATGTATGTATTGAAAGACATTATTCCCTTTCACTTTTACTATTTTTTAGCACCTTCAGTGTCCTGGGTGTAATATTCTAACTGGAGGAAAATAACGGATGAGCGAGCTTAGATAACTTCGAGTTCCAGACCCACCAATTCTAATAGGGCGGAATCCGTTCCTTGATGAGGTAAAGAAGGCGCTGCTGATGGAATTCAGTTAAGGGAAGGATTCTTTGGGTATAAATGAGGCAAGGAAGACTACCCGAAAGTAGCATTTAACTTGGGCATTTAAAAAGACATTTGCTGGGTGAAAGAAGTCAAGGGGGTTCCACTCAGGAGAAAGCAGGTTCTCTGGTGGCCAGAGTGGCAAGGGATAGGGGCCAGCCTGTGAATGAAGTTTACTAAAGAATTAGGACATTTGCTGGGCACAGTGGCCCATGCCTATAATCCCCGTGGCTCGGGAGGCTGAGCCAGGAGGATTGCAAGTTCAAAGCCAGCCTCAGCAAAGCAAGACTCTAAGCAACACAGTGAGACCCTGTCTCTAAGTAAAATACAACATAGGGCTGGGACGTGGCTCAGTGGTCAAGTGCCTGTGAGTTCAATCCCAGGAACCCACTTTCAGGGGGAAAAAAAAAAGAATTCGGACATTTTCCAGGGGCCACTGGAGAAGCCCCAAAAATCTCTAAACTGTTGTGGTGGGAGGCATTATGACAAAGTCTGTGTTTGGTAAAGACCCTCCTTTATCCAATCCTGTCAACAAGGGGTAATTAGCCCAAGGAGAAACTGGAAGGAAGAACCAGGGCAGGAGAAAAGGGGAGAATTTGACCAAAAGACAATGTTTTCCTCTGTTGGTAAAGATGAGAATTTACAATTGGAGCAGATTTAATTATGAGAAAAAAATTACACTTCTGTGCTTCTGCATTTTAAAACAGTTACTCTCGCGTACATGTATGAATGCGATGTTTTACAAGAAAATGGTAATGTTAGCAAGGAGATTAAGATAGAGATTAATCTTCTCTATGTCCTCTATTTTCCAATCGTTCTGTACTCTGATGCATTTCTTTTTATTAATAGGAAAACAATATTTTAAAAGGAAAACACAAGTGTCCATCTCATGCCTGGCTCTTGGATGTGTCAGATTGCATCATCTGACTGTGTGGTAGCTGGAAAGAGGAACAAAATGTAAAGTTTCCTTCAGTGACATGGAGCATGGAGTCGGTGGGTTCTTTGCCTCATGAATTCAAAGAATGGGATTCACACACAGAAGAGGCTGAAAGCAAAGTATGGGAATTAATTAAAGCAAAGAGAAGCAAAGCTCCCGTGGATGGGAGGGGGCCAAGAGGCCATTGTCTAGGGGTTTGTATGGATCTGCAGGTCTCAGGAAGTCAGCCCACAGCCCAACCCTGGGTAAGACACTCCACATCCATTCATGCGGCCTTCAGTCCAATAAAAATAATCATCAGGTATTTTTCCCTCTTTGGAGAGGCCGTGGATCCCAGGTCACCCACGTCCTGATTTTCCATGGACTCCACATCACATATGTCCTGATTTGAAAATAACCTTTTTGCACGTTTCTCAGCAAAAACCTGCAGCTGCTGTTTGCTGTGCTCTGCGCTCAGGAAGTTCGCCTGGGGCCTGTTTCCCTATCTGCCTGGGCTTATCTCTTCCTCCTGACCACACTTCAAAAGCCAGGTCCCTGACTGGGGGTGCAGTTCAGCGGCAGAGCACTGGATCAGCACCAGTGGAACCCGGGGTTCCATCCCCAGCACTTGGAAGGAAGGAGGTGGTACAGGAAAGCCGGAGCTGAAATGCCAAACCTCGGTGCAGACTCAAAAACCCACACAAGAGAACTTTATTATAAGTCAACGTAAAATAAGAGCAAAGTGAGGCCTGAGCAGGGAACTCTCAAGAGAGAGAGCAGGTGGTCTCCAGGCAGAGAACGACAGAGAGGACCGTGGCCTTCTTGGAATTCATGACTGCTCCCTGTGTACCAGGACAGCTGGGGACCACCTTCTGAACTCTTTGCAATCAGGTGTTCAACTCCTCCTTCACGTCAGGCGGTGGCGTTTATGACCTTAGTTGGTCCTCTTCAGAACTGTCATGGTGGCCATCCGATTTAGAGGGGGGCTTCATCTGCAAGTCGACCCATGTCCAGGTGGGCCCTGGGGTCAGTAGCTGGTCAGAAGTTACCTTAGTGCACCTGCTGCTAAAGGACTCTTCCTTCCAGACAGACGGAGACACCAATAGCTATCACTCCTAGTGTCATACCAACCTCAATGGACCCTGTCAAGAGTCAGTCCCATCCACCCCACCTTTTTTTTTTAATTTTTTGTAGTTGTAGATGGACAGCATGCCTTTATTTTATTTGTTTACTTTTATGGGGCGCCGAGGATGGAACCCAGTGCCTCACAGGGGCTAGGCGCGCTTTCTCTGCCTGAGCCACAACCCCAGCCCTCATTCTCTCCTTTTGACATATTTTCCCTTAGGTCCTTTGCTTCTATTCATTTTCTACAAATAAATTCATGTGAGAAATGGAAGGGGAAAGAATACATAGACAAAAAAAATGTATAACTCAGAGAGTCTGTGTGTGTGTGTGTGTGTATAGTCAAAAGTCAGGGAGCTCAACAATGCATAGATGGGGATCAGAGAGAAGGAACAGCTTGGTGATTTGGTTGCTCAGAGAAATGGTGGGATCTGAAGAGGTCTATCTTTGAAGGGTAGAAAAAGTGAAGATATTCCAAGCTGTGAGAACAGTATGACCCAACTGGATAGCACTGGCACATGTGGCCAAGGGTGAGGAGACCTGGAGACTTGGAACCAAGAATTCCTGTGGGAAACCAGGCTGAAAACACGGCGGTGAGAACCCGAGGGCTTTAGGGGAGGCTGGATGGTTGTAATAGTTCTGAGGCAAGAAACACAGACTCCCCAAGATCCGTTTGAGAGTGGGCAGGGGACATGCCAGGCAGGAGATGGGGCTGGGGAGCCGCTTCCTGATTGCCACACAAGATCTGGCTCAGCGTCTGTTGCCAGCGCTGGGTTTTCTCTGGTTCCTTCTAAACTTGCTCTTCCATCATTTAAAAATAAAATAAACTAGAGGCTGGGAGTGTAGCTCAGTGGTACAGTGCTTGCCAAGCATGTGTGAATCCCCAACTCTATCCCCAACATCACCAAAAACATTAGAAATAAAAATAAAACACCTTTATTGAGATTTAATTTATATATCACACAATTTACTCAGAGTGTAGAATTCATTGTTTTTAGGATATTTTCATGGTTGTTATAAACATCACCAAAATTTAATCCTAAGAAACCACTAATCTACTTTCTGTCTCTATAGATTTTCCTATTCTGAACATTTCTTATAAATAAATCATTCAATATGTGATCTTTTGTGTCTGATTTCCTCCACTTAGCATAATATTTCCAAGGCTTATCTATTTAATATCATGCATAGGAACTTCATCCTTTTTATGGCTTAATAATATTCCATGGTTCAGACATACCACATTTTGCTTATACATTCATTAGTTGGTGGACAAGGGTTTTTTTTCCTACTTTTGCACTATCACAAATAATGCTGTACAAGTTTTTGTGTGAGTATAGATTTTCATTTCCCATGGGTCTCTACCTTGAAGTGGAGGTGCTGGATTGCACTTGCTATCCATATTATACTCCGTATTTCTGACCTATGTCTTTGCACACTCTCTGATGAATCTTACTATTTGTTCATTCATTTTTTAACCAGGCTTATATTTCTCAGCCCATTATAACTCTGAATTTCATCCAGCCAGCAGAGTCTCCACCATAACTTAAGTCAGCTTCTCTTGTGAGTTTCAAAGCCAAGAAGGAAGGAGGTGGTGGGCCAGAGCCATCTGCTCTGCCCAGGAAAGCAGATTTGGTCACAGGGAGAGTCACAGCAGCCCACGCTCAGGCTACCCTGTGCCTCCTACACTTACTTGTTAAAGGAAACCAAATGTCTGTCAACCTCCCCCCCGAGTCTGTCTCCAGCACAGCGGACTTCAGCTCCATCCCAGGTCCTCTGCTAGAACTCTCTCCTGCTGCTGATGGAGACACGTTTTCCTGAAGGAGGGATCTCAGAATCTTAGAACAGGAAACAATCAAACCCTATCTCAAAATAAAGCAGACTGGGATGCAACTACTCAGTGGCAGAGCACCCCTGGGTTCAGTCCCCAGTATTGGGGGAGCAGGTAGAATCAACAGGAGAGGAAAAAAAGCAAACCCTTGCAACCCTCGGTCACAGCGATGTGGTTTGGAGAAAAACAAACAAATTGTTTAAATACAGCCACTGCTGAGGTAAGAGAGAGGTCGGAGTCACTTGCACCTCGTATCTTCAGATCCTAGGACACCTCATCCCCGGGAGCCAATGCGAAGACAAGGTAATGAACAGCACTAAAAAATGTGGGTTGCCCAGAGCCAGCTAATTGACCTGTGATCAATACCAACAGCCATCAGCGTGCAGTTAAGCAATAGCAAATGATTGACCCGCGCCAAGGACTCGACAACGGAGGGAGGAAGATTTATACCTCAATATTGTTCTAACAATATTTCAACCTCCCTGCCAGCCCTGTGAGATTACGGATAGATTCTGCTAAGAGTAATAACCTGACTCCCAGAATCCTACATGTATGGGAAATAGCAGGCTAGGGGAGCAGATATACTGAGATCGGGGTGTTATAAAGCCTGAGCCAGGAAAGAGATTGATGTCACCGTGTTAGAGAGCAACACACTCCGCAGAGTGCAGGATGGGCTGTCTCCCTGTTACTGGGAGCTTGTAACCTACCAAGAAACATAAGAGGTAACTTGACGTTACAAGCTGCGAGCCACCTGCCCTAAGAAAGTGAGGATTTAACTCTTTGGTACAAAAGGATCATTCAAACTGCCTGACTATTCATCAGGAAGGAGTTCTGTGACACTCCAAAGAGACAGAGACCTCTCGTTTCTGAGGAACCAGGGCATCTTTTAGAGAAGCCATTGGAAATGGCTATTTTAAATTTTTCTCAAAAAAGCGATCTTTGTAGGAAATGGACATAGGCATGGGGTTTCTGGCAGAAAAATGTGTTTGGTCTCTGCCTTGGAGAAGACCCCCGGCAAGAAGCATGTCTCTCCCAACATTTCTTATAAGTTTTTTTTGTTTGTTGGTTGGTTTGGTTTGGTTTGGTTCCGGTACCAGAGATTGAACCCCAGGGCGCTCACAGCCCCAGCCCTTTTTTTTTTTAAATTTAGAGACAGGGTCTCACCAAGTTGCTTAGGGTCTCGCTAAGTTGCTGAGGCTAGCTGTGAACGCGAGATCCTCCTGCCTCAGCCTCCCAAGCCGCTAGGATTACAGGTGTGCACCGCTGTGCCCCTGCCTCTCCCACTCTCCCAGCCTTTCTCAACCATGACCCTCGTCCCTGCTAAGAGCAACTGTGTCATTCTTGTATTTTTTAAAATGTATACATATATTTTATATTTATATATTAAGCTTATATTATATTATATATCTCTCAGCTTCACGCTAACCATGTGCCCTACCACTGGGCTGCACTCCAGACCAGAGGCATTCCTTTCCGCTGCCCGACGTCTGGCATGCTCCCCACACTCTCGGACATCCACGCCTCTGTCTCAGTGGCCCAGTGCCTTCTGCCTTCTGTGCTCAGAAGAGCAGACACCTAGATGGGCCCTCCCTCCATTTACCCAGACATACTCCAGCTCCTCCCTCCCAAACCCAGTCTGTTCAGCTGAGGTCCTGATACCTTGGTCCAGCCTCAGGTGGCCTCCCTTCCGTGGTCCCTAAGCCTTTGTCAAAGCCCCGGGCAGCCTGAATCGCGGCTCTGCAGTCCCCCACACCGCGTGTCATTTTGCTCGGTCTCCCAATGCCCTGGCCAGCTCCAATTCACCTCCTCCCACTGAGTCTCAAAATCTGACCACCTGGACACGCCCACCCATGGTCTCTTCCTTCAGCCAGGCACTGTCCCTGCCCATGGTCCCAGCTCCCTCCCCCGCCCTCCTGGCTGGCCAAGCAGAGATTGATCAGGTCACCAGGGTGCACCTGGGTACTAGGTATTCGGGAATACCAAGTACACTGCGAGGCCGCCTCTGACCTTGTACCTGGACCTCAAGGTGCTTCACCTGGACTGCCCTGCCCCCTTCCTTCCTGGCCAGCACAAGACCAAGAGCATTGAAGAGAGACAAAAGAGAGAAAAGAGACGTGTTATCCAAACAGACCAATAAAGTGCACACAGGGATATCCAGAGACTCAGAGACTTGGCTCACAAGGTTATAGAGGGAAGTCCCACAGTCTGGTCCATGAAAGCCAAAGGCATGGTTTCAATCCAAACCCAAAGTCCTAAGAACCCAGAGCATCGCGTATGAGGGCCGGAGGAGACGGTGTGCCAGCCCAGGCCGACCTCAGCTCTGCCCTTCCTCCACCTTCGCCCTCCAGAGACTGGACGCATTGGTAAGGGCCAACCTCAAATTCTAGTCTCTTTTGGAAACACCATCACAGAAATACCCAGAAATATTCTGCTAACAGCTGTCTGACCATTCCTTAGCCAAGTCAAGTTGACAAATAAAAGGAGGCATGAAGGGAGGGAAAGAGGGACCTCGGATGTTTGAAATTCCATGATAACCCATCGTACTCACCAACAGACTTCAATCAATCAAACTAGAAAAGCCTTAAAGAGGCCTCCTTTTTTTCTTGTTACTGGGGATTGAGCCTAGAACTGCTTAGCCACATCCCCAGCCTTTTTTTTTTTTTTTTTTTTTTTTTGAGACAGGGTCTTACTAAGTTGCTTAGGGCCTCGCTGAGTTACTGAGGCTGCCTATGAACTTGTGATCCTCCTGCCTCAGCCTCCAGAGGTGTTGGGATTACAGGCACACACCACCATGCCCTGCAAAAGTTTCCCTTTTAATAACAAATTTCCAATAAGAGAGCCTTGCATTTACTTGAGTTCTACTTACACTCAAATTCCTTTCAGCAGCCAAGGTTGAAGGCCCAGCAGGACCTCAGCTTCAGGGTGAGAAGTAGTAAATTATGCTACTTGGACATTTAATGAAAATAAACATTTCATCAATGAGAAAGCAATTCGCCTACTTGTAATAAAATCTTTTTTTTTCAGCCTGATAGATAAAGATCCTAAATAATTTTATATACTTTGGCTGCACCTTAATGTCTGTTTATGAAAAATAATAAGCATCTCTATATTATATGAATTACATTTCTCCTTTTATAATTAATGATTTATGCTACAGATAATGTATTTGTGCTGGGCTCCCGTAATACCAGTTACTCAGGAGGCTGAGGCAGGAGGATTGCAAGTTCAAGGCCAGCCTGGGCAATTTAGTGAGGTCCTTTCTAAAAATGAAAAGATAAAACAGGGCTAGGGTATATAGCTCCGCGGTAGAGGTTTGCCTTGCATTGTGTGAGGCATGCATTTGTATATGTAGAGGTGTTGTGAGTGTTATTTTTACATTTTATTTCATGTATTAGCTTATATTAAACATTGTTCTGAAACTTGCTCAACCTTAAATCAGAAACACCCCCCAATCCGTATCATCTAGTGTTACCTCAGTGACCCTAGCTGATGTAGGATTATCACTGTGTGATAAAGTGCAACTCTTTCCCAATTTGGCAGTTTCCAAGTTTTCATTAATGCAAACAATGCAACAGATATCCCTGACATTACACATACTGGTTGCTGATTTGGTGTATATGTACGTGACAGTTTTTTGGATTTTGTCTGTTTGCTTTTGGTACTGGGGGTAAAACCCTGGGATTCTTCACCACTGAGCAACATCCCCAGTGCTTTCCATTTTATCTTCAGACGGGGTCTCACTATGTTGCCAAGGCTGGCCCTGAGTCCCTGGGATTACAGGTATGAACCACTATACCCGGGTTACATGACAGGTTTTTTTGTTTTTTATTTGCGGAGGGGGGTATCAGGGATTAAACTCAGATGCACTCGACCACTGAGCCATATTCCTAGCTTATTTCATATTTTATTTAGAAACAGGGTCTCAATGAGTTGCTTAGTGCCTCACAGTTGCTAAGGCTGGCTTTGAACTAGAGATCCTCCCGCCTCAGCCTCCGGATCCACTGGGGCAGGTGTGCACCACTGGCAGGCTGCATGACAGTTTTTGATAGATATTGCCAAATTGCTTTCCCTAAGATAGCAACCAACCAGGGCTGGAGATGTAGTTCACTGGTAGAGCACTTACCTAGAATGTGTAAGGCCCTGGGTTCTATCCTCAGTACCAAAAAAAGACGGGGGGGGGCCAGGATGAGTTAACTATGAATAATACTTCCATCAATTGAATATGAAAGTATATTTTTTGTGTTCTCCTATCTGTAAGTGAATGACCAGGCTCTCATCTTCTTACCTGTAAGCAGAGAAGCCATGTTTCGGCCACCTAACACAAAAGGCACAATGTCTAATGTTTTAAGAGCAGAAGATTTAGTTTATAAATACAAAGGTCTCTATCTTCCATGAATAGTACTGTGTATATTGCATAATCGATTGTATTTAAATAAAGCTAATGGTGAAGATAGTGTTAAAGACGGAGAACGGCTGGCCCCTAAATCAATGTGTTACAGAGCTGTCCATAAGATCGTTTAAACCATCTTGGTATTCCGATTAGTGACGTGTGAATTGTTTCGAAATACTCTCAATGACCTTTCAAACTGTACTTAGTTCCTTTTCTTTTTTCATCAGAATCTCATCAGGTTTTTGTTTTTTTTTTTTTTCCTCCCAGTGAAGTATTCAAACTACATGAATGGATACATTTTACCTCATCTCAAAACTTCCTCTATTTACTGAAAACATAACCTAATAATTTGTATTAATACATAATTTATGAATTACGTGTTAATTTTTCATGCCCCATTGTTTGTAAAACTTTTAGTAATCTTTCAAATAGTAGAAATCAAAACAGAAAGGACTCTCATAAAGTCCTTTTCTCAAGTCAGTTGGATATTAAATGAACAATAACTTTAAAATGGCATTGAACAGCCCAGCAACATGGTGCATGCCTGTAATCCCAGCAGCTAGGGAGGCTGAGACAGGAGGATCTTGAGTTCAGAGCCAGCCTCAGCAATTTAGCGAGGCACTAAACAACTCAGTGAGACCCTGTCTCTAAATAAAATACAAAATAGGGCTGGGGGGAGGGGGGATAGTAGAGGATAGGAAAGATAGCAGAATTAAAAAAAGAAAAGAAAATAGGGCTGGGAGTGTGGCTCAGTGGTTGAGTGCCCCTGAGTTCAATCCCCAGTACCAAAAAAAAGGCATTGAAAAGGAACGTATATTCTGTAAAACAGTAAATTTTAAAAGTTTTTAAATAATTTGCTAAAATGGTGACAAGAGCATAGTTGAGGAATCCTTTTTTTTTTTTTGTACTGAGTGTCAAACCCAGAGGCACTTAACCACTGAGCCACATCCCCAGCCCCCCTTTTCATTTTTGAGAAAGGGTCTCACTATGTTGCTGAGGCTGGCCTGAGACTTGTGATCCTCCTGCCTCACCCTCCTGAGTTGCTAGAATTATAGACATGTGCCACTAGGAATCTATTTTAAACTGGTGTTGCTGCTTTTCCAAGCCTGGATATCAATAGGGTGACAGATGTCACAGCCAGATCAATCACCCTCACATCCAGTGTCACTGCTTTTTCAGAAGCAGTCCCCTCCCCTGGCCTTTTTTTTTTTTGCTGCTGGGGATTGAACCCAGGGCCTCTTGCATGTAAGGCAAGCACTCTACCAACTGAGCTACGTCCCAGCCCCAGAAGCAGCTCTTAAAGCTGGCACATGGTACACGATGCCAAGCTGTGTGTTCTACTACTTTTTGAGATTTTGAAATATGCTCAAAACAAAATTATATAGAAAAAAAAATTGAGGAATCGTTATTATTTTTATTCTGGAGACTTGCAATCATTTTGAAATTTTTACCAAATACATCCCAGAATTTTTAAAACTAAAGTCAACTTTAGAAAAGTAAGGGAACATCATGTGAATGCACAGAAGGAAGACAGCCAAAGACCAGCTGAGGCTGGAGAGGCAGAGAGGCCAGGGCGGCTCCTCCCCCATACACACACACACACTTCCGTGGAAGCAGGACTTCTTGGACTATAGCCTCCAGCGCAGTGAGAGAGGACATCTCTGTTGTTGTAAGCCACCTGGTTTGTGGTCCTTTGTTACGGCAGCCCAGAAAACAAATATGGAAATCATTACGACATCAAGATTGGGATTGAGGGACTAGTATTTATGGAGAACCTATGATGAGCCAGGTGCAGTGACACACACCTGTAATCCTAGCTGCTCAGGAGCCTGAGGCAGGAGGATCGCAAGTTCAAGTCCAGCCTCAGCAACTCAGCAAGATCCCATCTCAAAATAAAAAATAAAAAGGGTTGGGGATATGGCTCAGTGGTAGAGTATCCCTGGGTTCAATTCCCAGTACCATGACAGAAAAAAAGAAAAAGAGAGAGAGAGAGAGAAACTCTGATGTTCAGGCTCCTTGTTAGACACTTTACCTGTTCTAT